ACTGACCTGGAACTCACTATGTAGCCAAGGCTGGTCTCGAACTCACAGCGATCCTCCTGCCTCAGCCTCCTGGGCACTGGGATTACAGGCGTGCACCACCACGCCCGGCTCCTCAGAGATTATTCTTGATAGCTGGGACCAGGTGGGACATAGCCTGATGAGCTAATGGAGTGAGGGAGCTCTTTATGGTATAGGAAGGTGAGGACCATGTGGTCTAGGCTGAACTTGATTGTCTCCTTATCAGCCATGCATAGAAAAGGAACAAGGATACATAATGTAACTGTCTCCTGGGGCTGTGCCATCCAGGATTTCCATCTTAGTCAAGGAGACTGTGTCTTTTTTACTATCTTATCTAGGAGGAGAAAGGCAGTAGAGATGAGACAAAAGGACATCTTTGGGCTCGGCCCACGGCAGTGATCCTGTTACCTCAAACTCTCTAAAGTAGGTGGGATTACAGGCCTGCACCACCATGCAAGTTTATAATTATTTTTGTTATGGTTGTTGTTTGAGACAGCATCTCTCTAGGTAGTTGAGACTGACCTGGAACTCACTATGTAGCCCAGGCTGGTCTCACAGCAATCGTCCTGCCTCCGCCTCCCAAGTTCCGGGATTACAGGCATGTGCCACCACACCCGGCTCAAAGTGGACATTTTTTGGGGGGTACCAGGGTTCGAACTCAGGACCTTGAGCTTTTGAGGCAGAGGCAGGCAGTGGAACCACTGAGCTAAGTCCCTGGCCCCTGCTATAGCCAATTTTGTTAGTGAGCTTGTGACTCAGCTGCTGTTATCTGGTGATCATCTGAAAATTGTGGGCAAGGTGGTGACATCTTGAAATTAATATCAGTCTTCTAGTTTGTTTTTGTCTTTTGGTACCAGGGATTGAACTTAGGACCTTGTGCTTTCGAGGCAGGCATGGTGCCACTGAGCTAAATCTCCAGCCCTTTTTTTGTGTGTGGTTTTGGTTTTTTTATGTGTTTTTCATTTTGTTTTGTTTTGTTTTTTGTACCAGGGATCGAAATCTGGACCTTGCACTTGTGAAGTAGGCTGTGGCACCACTGAGCTAAATCCCCAGCACCACTGTTTTATTTTTTTATTATATTTTGGGAGGGTACTGGGGATCAAACTTGGGTCCTGGTGCTTGTGAGGCAGGAAGCAGAACCACTGAGCTAAATCCCCACCCCGGTTTTATGTTTTTTTGACACAACGTCTCATTATATAGTCCAGGCTGGTCACAGACTTGTGATGACTCTCCTGCCTCAGCCTCCCAAGTGCTGGGATTGCAGGCATGCACCACCATGCCTGCTAAGTCTTTTAGTTTTGAGTCATATGAGTCACCATGTCACAAAAACATAGGCTATAGTAGAAGAGCCTGTTACTAATGTCTCTATTTTGCAGAAGAGAGAAATGGGCTCAAGAACCCAGGGCCTTACCCCAAAATCACGGTAGACCTGAACAAGACCTGGTTGCACTCACCTGGGGTATAGCCCCAAGGCTCATAGTAGGAGGGGAAGACCCCAAGGTGACAGCCACGCACAAACTCCTCATAGTCCACAGGGAGCAGGGGGCTTGTGGAGGAGAGGAACTCTGGGTGAAAAATCACCTGGCAGGTAAAAAGAAGAGCTTCGCTCAAGCATTTTATGTAACTATTTCCTGAGGACAGGGTGTCCCATAGCACGTGGATGACAAGACAGAGACTTCAACCCAAGTCTGCCTCAGAAGCCAACAATGCTTTTGATAAATCTGAGGGGTGTGGCTGCCATGCCCAGGGTGCAATTCACCCCCTCTGCCATCCACATCCTCCCCTGGCCAGCATCCTCACCTTAACCCTGTCAGCACTGCTATTGAAGAGGCCAATCCGGCGGATGGTGGTCAGGATGGGGTCTGAGGAATCATCCAGCATATTGTGGGTGCACACAGGGGGGAACGACTGCCGCTACAGGAGCCACAAGTGGAGGAGGGGTGGTGAGGGAAGAGACAGAGAACTTCCTACTTCCCCATGGAAAGGCCCAGAAGACCAGGAGACAACAAACCCAAGAGAGTCCCAGGAGTTACCAGTTCCCACTTAGCTCTAACTAGAAAGCATCTTTTTCCTAAAAAGAACTACAACTCCCAACTGTCTCTGGGGCGGCCAGGGTTAAAAACCTCCAGGGGTGATAGGGAGTTATTACTATCATGTTCTGTATTCTTGGTTCTGTCATTAAAGGAATCCAAAAGGACCTATAATTCGCCCAGTCAGTGGGAACAGGCAATATGGCAAGGAGTTTCAAGGCCTGCTGGGAGTTGTAGTTTGCTGATGAAAATCTAGCCCCCACCCTCGCTCCCAATAGGAATCCAAAGAAACTACAATTTCCAGAAGTCACAGCCACAAAACAAAATTAGTGTTAGGAAGCCCCAGAGGTTACTGGAATGGACAGTTCTTTGAAACTCTTCCATCATCTTTATTTTTTATTTTGAGACAAGGTCTTGCTAAATTGCCCCAGATAGGGCTCAAATTTGTGATCCTTTTGTCTCAGCCACCCAGAGTGCTACCATTATAAGTGTGCACCACCATGTCCAGTTTCCTCATCTCTCATTAAGGGTTTCACTCAACGTCAGTCTATTGAGCCCAGAGGTTCAAGAAAATACAACTCCCAGAAGCCCTATGTAAGCAACATTCATGAGTGAGACAGGCTGCCTTATGGTCATTATAAATTATAGTTTAGCCAAGAGTATTTTATAATTTGTTTTTGCAAAGTAGCTGTCTCGGTTTTCATCAACCCTAACCTAGGTACTAAAGTCCCTTGACCCTAGGGAATGAGAACTCTAATTCCCAGAAACCTCTAGGGCAAGGGAAGTCAATGTTGCAGAAAGCCCCAGGGGCTGCTGGGAGTTGTAGTTCTCAGTTTGTGATAGTGCAAAGGTTTCTATTCTGCCTAACTCCATCATCCTCAGTAATCAAAGAAGCTAAAGCTCCTAGAGGTGTGTGGGACTAAGACCTGACTAGTGGAATGAGAAACTGTGACAGCTAGGTGTGGTGGCACATGCCCGAGGCAGGAGGATCGCTGTGAGTCTGAGGCCAGACTGCTACATAGTAAGTTCAAGGCCAGCCTGAACTGCATAGTGAGACCCTGTCTAAAAAATAAAAAGAAAGAAAAAGAAACAGCGGCAGTGGAGGTGTCTGGGAATTGTCATTTCTGTGCTCAAGGGTCCAAACCGTACCTGTGTGGCAAAGATGGCCCTCTTCATCATAGTGAAGTCCTCCTTGTCCAGCATCTTATTCATGTCTGGGAGACTTCCCCTGCAAGGCAAGTGGGGACATGCTTGTGGGGCTGGGTGAGAGGAGGGCTGGGGTCCAGAAGGGTAGAGAGCTGAGGGCCAGGCACTCACACCAGCAAGGATTCATACAGCTTCCTCCCGAACTTCTCCTTCACCGCGTTGGCTGTGTCCCTGGAAGGAGCAGAGCAGCATCACAGACATCAGCTGCCATCATTGCTACGTTTGGGGGGGGCAGCAGGGAAACTGAGGCTGGTGCAGAGAAGCCGCACACTGGGGCTTCCAGGCTGGAGCATGGGGACAGGGGGCAGGCCTGGAAGGCTCGGTTCCTCATGCCTTCATCAGCTGTGTGACCAGGGACAGGTGGCCTTTCCTCTCTGACTTCATGACTCATCTATCAGATGAGAATAAAAATAGAATCAACCTCAGAAGTTTGTAGCCAGAACTCCACGAGGTCAGGAGAAAAAAACGCACGGTGCCAGGCACGCAGTGAGCCTCCCCAAATGCCAGCTATTCTTAGGTTTGACCAGCCGTGGCAGCGGGAGATGCCACGCCCTATTATATGAAAAAGGAAGATTCTGAGACAGGCATATCTACATGTAATGCTGATAATGACATTCTCTACTTACAGTCCTCTAATAGCTTTAACCTCATTCCCTTTTCTTGGTTGAGACAAGGTCTCTCTATGTAATTCAGGCTGGCCTCAAACTCATGGAGATCCTCCTGCCTCAGCCTCCTGAGTGCTAGGATTACAGGCATGTGCACCAGGTCCTGTTCAGCCTCATTTATTACATCTCCTGCCATGCTGGCCCCTGTGCTATTTCTCAAACACGGCCAGGGCCTTTGCACTCACTGTGCCGTGCCTGAAATGCCATTCTGCAAGGACACACAGGCCCCATTTCCTCCTCTACTGTCTCTGCCCAGTGGCACTTTCTCCATGTACCTGTCCTGGCAACCCCGTCTTACTTCCAGCCCTGTCTCTATTTTGCCAGAATATTTTCTAGAGGACTTTCTACAACATGAGCTTTACGAGGACAGGGGTTTTGAGAGTTTGTGGTTTTTCCTTGTGGGTGCTGGGGATTGAACTCGGGGCCTTTCAACCAGGCCACATCCCCAGATTTTTTTTTTTTTTTTTTTTTGAACATGGAGTCTAGCTAAATTGCCCAGGCTGGGCTCAAACACGGGAACTTCCTACTTCAGTTCCCCAGAGCAGTGGGATCACAGGGGTGCGCGACCATGGCCTGTGTTTCAGTTGTCTTTTTAAAAGGATGACATGGCATTTCTGTTTTGCTTTTTGTTTTGCAGCTCTGGGGATGGAAAGCAGGCGCATGCACGAGACAGGCTAGCGCTCTACCACCGAGCTGCATGCAGATCCCAGGAGGCCTCGGAGCCGGTGATGTCCCCAGGCACGGAGGGTGGCGTGATCACATAAGACAAAACTGAGATGCCGAGAGAAGCACTGAGCCCCCGGCCCACGGTGGAATGGGGCGGAGGGGACTCCCAGGGGGAGGGTGGGGGCCGCTGACCACAGCTGCTTGCGCACGGCCTGGCCCTTGAGGGTTTCCACGTTGAAGTTGTTGGTCCGAGCTGGCATGATGAAGAAGGCGACCACCGTCTGCTCACTGCTATTCACCTGGGACGCAGAAAGGGGAGGCCAGGGTCACATGAGGGTGGGCAGAGGACAGCCGCGCGAGGCCAGCCCCAGGACCCCTGGGACTCTGCCAGGCCCCTTCCAGCTATGGAGGATCACAAGACAGCTGCACTTGCGGCTTGGCCCCAGATCTCTCTGGGTCTCTACACCCTGCACCACCGTGACTTTCCCTGACGCGCCACCTCCCTGGTCTTGTGCTCCCCCGCATGCACTTTTTCTTTTTTTTTGAGACAGGGTCTCACTATGTACGTAGTTCAGGCTGTCCCTGAGCTCACTGAGTAGCTCAGGCTGGCCTTGAAACTCGTGGCACTATGATGAAGATTATCATTATGTATATCTAAAATGTCCAAATCAATGTTTTGCTTTAAAGAAAAAAGAAAAGAACTCATAGCAATCCTCCTGCCTCAGCCTCCCAAGTGTTGGGATTACAGGTGTGTGCCACCAAATACAGCTCTAGGCACTGATTTTATCACTACACACACACACACACACACACACACACACCCCCACCCCCCTCACCAAATACAGCTCTAGGCACTGATTTTATCACTACACACACACACACACACACACACACACACACACCCGCCCAGCCCAGGCCTCACTCTGAGTAGGTAGTTGAGCCGGGCCAAGGCTTCCATGAAGACGTCAGCCCCCTTGTTAGAGAACTCATAGCGGCCAGCAATAAAGAAATACAAAGTCTTGTCCAAGTTGAAGTCCAAGTGCCTAAAGAAGCCAAACAGCAGGGTGAAGCCCAAGAGCCTCACCCTGTGGTCCTGTCCTCAAAACTACAAATCCCAGAAGCTATAGAGGCAATTTTAGGAAATGTCGAGATATCACAAAGCCTCACTCCTAGGAGCTATGGTTTTTTTCCTCCTCAGATGGGGATCACTTTTATTTTTCCCCACTGTTCTAAAGAAGCTGAGCTCCTAGCTGCCTGAGAACTCCTCAGACCAGGGGCCCAGGACCAAATTCCTCCCCCGGACCCAGGTGTTCAGGCCCCATCTACTCGGGCATAGGTATCTGGACCACATACCCATAAAAATGGCCCCGAACAAACTCCTGGATCCGAGCTTTGCTCTGAGCATGGAGATTCTGGAACTCATGCATGGCAGAGAACTTCTTCACATTCAGTCCGTTGGGGGTCACAATATCTGGGATTAGGGTAGAAGGTCTCATGTCTCATTTCCTCATTTGTTCATTTGGACCAATACGGGTGAAGGAATCAACGAGATAAAGAACCCATCCCTTTTGCAACTTGCACCAATGGGTATGGGTCTTCTGGAAGCTCTCTTCAGCTGCTCTGATGCCTTCTTCCCTAATATCACATGCTTATGCTCACAGGCATAATCACCAGCCTCCTCAGCTCTTGCAATGGCTGACCAGACTGACCCATATCAGAGATTCTAGGAGTTGTTTTGTTTCCCCTTATCTTACCCAGAGGTGGAAGTGACTAGATATTTCCAACATGTTGTTTTTCCCAAGATATACTCTCTACCTTCAAGCCTCTTTCAGGGACTCAACCACTTCCTCACCTCATAGAAATTATTATTGTTGTTGTTGTTATTATTATTATTATTTTGAGACAGGGTCTCAGTATGTAGTTGAGACTGACCTGGAACTCACTATGTAGCCCAGGCTGGTCTTGAACTCACAGAGATCCTCCTGCCTCAGCCTACTGAGTGCTGGGATTACAGCTGTGAGCCACCACATCTGGCTCTTACCTCACAGAAATTAAAGGCGTGTCAACAAAAGACTACAACCCCTAGGCCAGCTCCTATGGCAAAGTTTCAAGAATCTATGGAGCTGGGCAGGCACAGGCCTTCTGGGTATTGTAGTGTCCACCTTATGCTCAGTGAGAATGGGTACTCAGACCCAGCAAAAACCCCAGTTCTGACCCTACTTTCCTCAAAAATAATGTCTACTATCTCTGCATTCTCTTTTGGGAGACAAATGACTACAGGAGCCAATTACTGAGTTTCAGCGTTTCAGAAGTTTCAATGGAACCACAACTCCCATTAGCCTCCGGAGCAGACAGAACCAGGCAGCCTCATTTATAGGTTACCACACCAACCCCAAGGCCTTCTGGGAGTTGTAGTTATTTTCTTTACATTTTTAAAAATTGAAAAAAAAAAATTGCTCTTGGCCCTAGAAATAGACAGCCTCCTTCCTCATTCACGTGGAGGGACCCTGGCCCAGCCCCTACCTGGCTTCCTCTTGAGTAGGTGCTGCGCCTCAATGGCAGTTATCTGGGACACAGTGGTGAAGACATGAGCACAGTGTGCTGCTGCCCGCTCCATGCAGTAGCGGTGATAGATTTGTCTCTCCCCTGCTTCCTTGTCTACATTGAACTGGGGGAGGGAGGGAGGCAGGATGCTCAGGTTTAGGAGGACTGGGGAGAAGACTGAAGGTCCAGACTCCAGGGTCCCGGGGGAGTTTGGGGATGGGAGGAGCCGGACTCCCGGGTCTCAGGGGGTGGGCGCTGGAGGTTTGGGCTCCTGGGTCCTGGGAGAGGAGGGAGTTTGACCCGCTTGGGTTTCCCAGGGCTGTGGGCACAGCGCCCACAGCGCACCGCGCCCCAGCTCACATTCTCCAGGTTGTTGTAGAAGTCCACAGCACCAGCGCACAGGTATCGCCCCAGCAGCGTGGCGTGGGTGGTAAAGATGGTTGCCACGGGCAGCCGCCGGGCACGGCACAGGCAGAGCCCTACGCCTGCCAACCACTCATGGAAGTGGGCAACCACATGCGGCTTCTCCTCACTCTGGGCCAGGAACTGTGGGGCAAGAGCGATAGGGTCACTGGGTCTCACGTGTACCATGGGTCAGCAAACCCCGACAGAAGCAGGGGAGAGGTAACTTCGCTACCGCCATTGCTCAGTGTGGGCTGCTGTCCCCTAGGCACTGCGAGGCAGTCAGACCAGCTGGTCTCTCCCCCAGAGTCTGGGTTTGTTTGTTTGTTTCAACCTTCTAAGTCCTGGCAAGGTTGAACTGGAAAGACTGAGGTTTAGTGTCTCCAAGTTCTAGACACAATTCCTGGAGACCCCTTATCTTAATCAGTACTGGCAAAGAGACTACAATTCCCAGAATGCTGTGGAGCAAGCAGTTTTTAAACTGTCCCAGGGCATGACAAATCAAGTATCTTGAGCCTTTTAAATCCTAAAAGGGGATCAGAACCAGGATTCCTGGTTCTTAGATAGGCTAGAGATTTTCAAGTACCCAGGTCCACATCTGAAAGCTTTGGTCTAGCCACTATCAGACTAGAGAACTGCAACTCCTAGAATTCCTCAGGCCTCGGTAGGGGCTCAGAATCTGTAACTTGGAAGACTGCAATAAATGAAGCTAAGGTCAACAAAAGTTTGAGTTTCTTAGAAAACAGGATTTCCATGTCCCCAAAGACCAGAGCTAATAATTGGTTCAAAGAATGTACAATTCCCAGAATACCCCAGGAGACACCCATGAGGGGTGGTGGTCATTGCAGTTTTGGGCTTAGGGGGAAAAGTGTGAGCGGGGTCTGCAGTAAGTCCTACCTCACCGAGGAACCAGGTGGTGAGGAAGCCAAAGAGGACAGCATCATTGGCCTCGCGGTCGTACCAGGGCACCCCAATGTTGCAGGTGTCCCACAGCTCTCCTTTCCAGCGTTCCAGGGCCCAGGCGGAGGCCCCGACATCCAGGAGCACCACCATGGGCCCCCCCTCAATCAGCCAGCGCCCAAAATACACCTGGATGGGGGCAGTAGAGAGGCTTAGGGCCTTTTTTTGGAGATGGGGGCTTACTACGTAGGCTGATTTTGAACTCAGAGATTCTCCTGCCTCAGCCCCCTGAGTGCTGGTATTATACGAATATGGCACTATGCCCGGCCGTCACGATGCTTTTTCCTATTACCTTTTGTATGTTGCTACTTCCTCCCCGCACCAAGTTCTTTGACTGGAAGCCACCTGACTTCCTCCCCACAGCTTCATTTCTGTCCCTGTCACCATGTGTCTATCACCTGCCACCTCTTCCTTCTGTGCATAAGCCCATCTCTGCAACCGTATTTCTAGCACTACTTGGTTCTCTTCATTCACTCAGGCTAAGTTTCTGCACCCGGAGCAACATCTCTGGAGTCTCTGTCTCATTTCATCCGCAGCCACTTTAGGTGGCCCCTTTCCTCCTGAGACCGTGGCCTTGGTGTCCTCAGCTGCCACAGCTCTCACCAGGACAAGCAGCCTCCGCCCCCACGCGGCTCCTCCAGCCCCAGCCTCTCCCGCTGCCCCTCCCCCTCCCAGCTGTTGTCTGCCCTTTTGCTGGGGGCGCTATTCTTAGGAGCAGCTGCCCGGGAGAAAGGACTGGGCCACTCTGGGGTCCCTTAGGGACACGGTCTGATTCGAGAGGCTCCAGAACCCGCAAACTGAGGCTGTGATGAGTGGGGGAACGCTGACACCTCTGCCCCTCAGCTCTGACTGCCTGCACCTTCTTTTTGCCCTGCACATCCCTCCTGGGAGGTTGAGACTCTCTTCCAGTCTTCACCCTGGGGCCCTGGACTCTTACTCCTCTCTTTAGTTCCTGTGTCTGCTTATCTCAGATGCTATTCACTGGGTGAGCCTGCCTGACCACTCTGCGCAGACATTCATCTTTCTACTTCTGGGCGGGACTTTCATCTTCTCTTTTACGTAGCCCCAGGCCGGCCTGCAGGGAACAACCTGCCTCAGCCTCTGCGTGGGCAAGTACCACCACACCCCACAGGCTGTCTGCCTAACTTTTTCCCTCTGTGGGGCTCAGGACCTTGGGTTCTTGGAGCCAGAGCTCCCAGTCTGCCCGTCCACTCACCCACATTGGGTTCCCCTCACTTCCGGGTGCCCTGCACCTGTCTGCGTGTCTGTCACTTTCCTTTTCTAGGTCTCCCTGGGAAAGTGCCACTTCGGCTGCTCAAGCCTCCCCTCCTCCCGGGCAGCACACTGATGGCCCATGTCCCACCTTACAACCTTTGCTGTTCATGGAGTCCAGCGTCTTCTTCAGGGCTGGGGTCGGGGGCTCAAGCAACTCCACCTGGGTCCTCACGCCCTGCTCCGTGTACGGTCCCACCAGGTAGTAGTTGTCACCCCACTCGTCCCCTGTCACCTTCGCCTTGGTCTGCAGCACCGTGTAGATGCCCCCCACTGCGGGCCCAAGTGTGTGAGCACAGGTCCCATCCCAGGTCCAAGGGTCTGGGACCTGGGTGGGGAAAGGGATGGAGGCCAGGACCTCCAGCACAGGAGAAGTGGGGGGCGGAAGCCAAACTACTGTAGAGGCAGAGGAAAGAGGGGGCTGATCAAGGGGAAAGGGCTGGAGGGTGGACTCCTGGGTCCCGGTAAAGTAGGGGCAAGGAAGGCAGGTGATGGCAATTGTTGGGACCCAGTTCTTGAGCTCCCAGCCCTCGGCATCTGGGTTTAAATTCTCAGGCTCCAAGCCATGGTGGGGAAAATCCTCACTCAGTTTCCTAAATTCTCCAAGAGAAGCCTGAATCATCACAGCCTGACCTCAGGGATCCTGCTGACCTTCTCTCCCAGGTTTCTGCCCCTGACTGGGGACACAGGCACACGGGATCCTGCTCCTCCTATGACCCCACTTCTGACCCAGGCACCTGGGGCCCCACCTCCTCACCTCCTACAGCCCGGGCCCGGGCTGCACAAGCTCTCCATGCACAAGCCCTGGCTCATGCTGTCTCCTCCAACGCCAGCAAAGCAAACCCCGAGCCCCGGCTGTTTGAGGGGTGAGACTGAGACTGCCTAGCTCCTGGGGATTCCAGCTCCCAAGCCCAGGACACAGAAATGCAGGCTCCCAGCCACACCCATCACACAGCCCAGCCCCTGCCCAACTTAGGACTTCCTAGCCTTCCTCTCTGTGGGACACACCACAGGCTCAGGCCCTTGGTTCTTTTCAAGTACTAAGCATTCAGGTCGACCTAAGAATGAAGGTCTCCGAGCCACCAAGTCCCCACAGGCTTCCACTTCGACCCACGCGTTCTCTCTCCCAATGACTGTGTCCCCAGTCCTGAGGGACAACCCGAGACCACCTTCCTCCGGACCACAGGTCTGAAACCTCAGCCTCCTCCCACTTTTGCATGCTCAAGCCCCACCCCCAGGTCCTTCCTGGTTCAGGTCCCAGGTCTCTGGGAAGGCCCCTTCCGAGACCTGGGAATCTGCTAGTTTACTGTCTTCTCCCCTAGGAACTCAAGGCCTGGAAGCCTCCTTCCATCTTAACTCAAGCTTTTCAGCCCTTCCCGCTCTGGGCCTAGGAGACAAACCCAGTCTCTCTCAAGGACAGAGGAGTCACAGGCATCTTGCCCAGGACCCAAGAGTCCCCGGTAGGGCTCTGTAATCCTGAGTCAACCTTCCGGGCCCCCATCCCCGACTACCCTTCTCAAGGGCCCTGGGGCCGGCGTGCTCACCCTTGTTGGCCACCTCCCAGGCCACTTCGAAGAGCACTGTGTTCTCCAGGTCGAACTCATCCTCCCACTCCTCCAGTCCTGGCAGTGAGGACATAGACAACGTGCGGCTCAAAGGCATGGCTGGCGCGGGAAGGGGGCTCCGAGGACCACAGGTGGGGACCCCGGAGAAGTCCAGGGAAGGTACCAGGCAGGGTGAGGGGCCGGGTAGCGGCTGTCGAAGGGAAGCTTGCAGCGCGCTCCGCTTCCTATTACTCGACCGCACCCCCGCCCTGGGAGAGTTCGGACTTGGCCGGAGGCGGCGCAGCGTTTACTGACCCTTAAGGCAAACCTGCAGCGAGCCTTGTGGCCGCCAGGAGGCGGTGCCCGACCCGAGCCAACCATTGGCCAGCGCCCGGGGGCAGGACTCCCGTTTCTCTTCATTGGAGGAGAAGATCTAGTTAGCTCCACCCTCCACCTCCTTAGATGTGGAAGAGCTCCAGGAGGCGGAGTTTGTCCCTGCGCTGAACTGAAGCGATTGGATTTTGGATATGTCAACCTGAAGGTGGAGGCCCCAAGTAGGGAGGAAGAAGAGGGTGGGATAAAAAGGAAAGGGAGCGTGGAGGACGTGTGGTTGCTAAAAGAAGTACGAGGAATTTTGCAATCAACCTCAACAGGGGTGGGGGCTGAGTAAAAGGAGGAGGAGCCAGAAGACGTTGGGAAAGGACGCAAGAGTTCCGGACACCGGTCTTTCCAAAGAGCAAGCGCCGCGTGGGCGGGGTCTAAAGTGCTGCCACGCCCCAACGGTGAGTTTACATATTTATGAGGAGCCATCGAGACGTTCGGATGACCTGCTGGGCTAGAGGGACCAAACGTCTCGCTGCTATCGGGTTTCCGTTTCCGCTAGGACTTTAGCGGTTTGTGAGCATCATGGCAACCGTGGTAAGTGTTGGCGCGTGAAAGAGTAAATCTGCATTCTTGAGTTTGAGGAGGTGTAAGTTAGAGGCCCGAAGCCTGGGTCTGAGGGAGGGAGGTGGTTGAGCCTGGACCCCTCGGTCTGAAGGAAGAGGCTGGGCCCGGACCCTGGGACTGAAGGAGGAGGCCGTGCCTGGACCCCGGGGCGGAAGCGGTTGGGACCTTGTTGTCCTGGGTCTGAGAAAATGAAATAAAACAGGGTGGAATCCTTTAATCTCAGGTTTTATCCCTATCGTGGTATAAACTCCACCTCCAGCCTTGGGCACAGTCAGCGGCCGGTCGTGCAGTCTTTCTCTTCAATATCTGATCTGGGAACCTCGGGTTGTTCATGATGCGAATGCCCCTGAGTTCCAAGGGACAAGAGCAGATGCATTCCTACACATCCCGTGGTGGGCTTTTAGCAAATCGAGTGATGAGAACTAAAACTGCCAGTGGGAAGGGGAAAGGATTGGGGCAGAGGTTGGTTTGTTGTGGGACTGTTTTGGCCATTTTTGTTTTTAGCCCCTGATGCAGGTCACCTGTTTCAACAAGTGAGCGAGTGAGTGTGAGACCCAAGGCTATGAGACAAGTTACACTGGGCCAGGCACCTGCTCCAGAAACATATGAATGAAGAAATGATGTAGCCAAAACTTGGGGGCAGGGCAGGGCTTCCAGATGCTTTGGTCCCCATCTTGACCCCACTCTTTTACTTTTTTTTTTTTTTTGGTACTGAGGATCAAACTCAGGTCCTCGTGCTTGCAAGGCAGGCAGCCGAACCACTGAGCTAAATCCCTGGCCCGCTGACCCCACTTTTTTTTGTTTTTTTGCGGGGGAGTGTTGAGGCAGGGTCTCACTATATAGTTGAGACTGAACTGGAACTCACTATGTAGCCCAGGCTGGTCTCGAACTCACAGTGATCCTCCTGCCTCTGCCTCCCGAGTGCTGGAATTATAGGCGTGCGCCACCATGCCCCGGCCTGGTGACCCCACTCTTGAGGGAGGAAGGGCTGGGGAGAGTTCAGGCTGTTGCTGTTACAATGGCAAGGAGGAAAAGGTGGATAGAGAAGTAGAGAAGAAATTGGCTGGTCCAGAGTTCACGGTTTTTAGGGGTGAGGAAGGCAGCATTGCTCACCAAGTAATTCCGTAGTGCTAGGCCCTGAGGACAGAGCTGTGACTAGACTGTCCTTGTCTTCCTGAGACAGTGTCGTGGGGCTGATTATCAAGCTGTTGGTGATGGCTTAGTGTGGTGGCAGGGACTGGGATTCGGTCTGTTTCCTGCCTGTGGAGGAAAGGAATTTCTCCTGGCAGATGGGAAGCAGGGAACGGGACATTACAAAGGTCCTTCTTATCCATCTTCCTGCACCTCCAGACTGCCACAACCAAAGTCCCAGAGATCCGCGATGTGACAAGGATTGAGCGTATCGGTGAGTGAGCAGGACAGTAGCAGCGCCCGGAATCCACCTGCCCCTGACCTCCTGTCCAGGTCCCTGAGGAAGAAAGAAGGACAGGAGCCCAAGTTTCAGGGTGGGCTCCTGATGTAGGTGCCAGGCGGTTGCAAATGCGGCTTCTCTGGGTGCCTGTGGAGTAGGCCTGAGCTGAGCTGAGTGCCCCATACGCCTGGCACACCAGCCTGTGCTCCCTGGAGAAACTCAGACCATGTCCCCAGCACGGGGCCACACAGCAGACTCTGCAGGTGACCCCAAGTGCATGGATCTGCGTGCTGTGGAGCCCTCACAGTGTCCCCAAGTGGGTAGAGACTGTGACCCCCATTTGAGCTGAGATATCTGAGTCTCAGAGACCAGGTCACTCAGGAAGCCGAAGGGAAGCAGGGCCGACAGGGCGTGACTCACACAGGAGGGATGGGACTACGATGGGTGGCAAGTGCTCCCACGAAGGGCTGGAGGGTGGCTTCTGGGAGCTCCTTGCTGGATTCTCTGAGCACTGCTACTTCCAAGCTGTATACCCAGAAGTTTCTTGCCCCCGTGCCTCAGTTTCCTAATTTGCGAGTGGAGCTAAGTAGTTCCCCTCCTTGGTGAATGTAATATCCAAAAACATAACCGGGCCGGGGATTTAGCTCAGTGGTGCTGCTGTTTGTCTTACAAGCACAAGGACCCGAGTTTGATCCCCGGTACCAAAAAAAAACCAAACATAATACAGTGTCTGCTGCGCATGCCTGCACTGCTCTACCTGGTAAAGCTTGGCCCTGCTGGGATCTGAGGACCCCACAGGACCAGCTGTGCCCAGTTGCTGCCCTTGGGTGCCCCCAGGCTAGCACAGGGATGGCAGAGCTCCTCTTGAAGCACCAGGTGGTAAATCTTTCCTCTGTTGAAACTTAGTCAGCTCTGCTGTCGCAGTGCAACGCAGCCCATCACGTGGCATGCCTGGCTCCCATAGGCTTTGTAACCTCCCAGGTAACTGGTCCAGGAGCTGTAGTTTTCTGGTCCTAGTGAAAAGCACTAGAATCTGTCTTATCTCTCACTGGCTGTGTGGTCTGGAGTATGGACCCCAACCTCTCTGAGTGCCTGGTAGATAGGGACCTGGGGCTGTTGTCGATGATGCCCAGTATTCCAGGGTGACGGTAGCTGGGCTCCTTGTCTCGGGGATATGTGGCAGGAAACTAGCACTGAGAATGACTGAGCCATAAGCTCAAAGCTCATTGTCATCATTAGTCCTCTGGGTAGTTTTGGACGATGATGTGGCCAACCAGGTGGCAGTGATCTTTGTCCCAGTAGAACATGTTCTAGGCGCTGTCCCCCAAGGAGGAGAAGGCTTGGGCCCCATCTAACCAAGACCAAGAAGGAAGCTGGAGTTTATGGGCAGCCCTCAGACTTCTGGGAGTGGAGGAAGCCGAGCTCTGTTGTTTCCCACACACAGGTGCACACTCCCACATACGGGGACTCGGGCTGGATGATGCCTTGGAGCCGCGCCAGGTAGGAAAGGGGCTGGGGTCCTGGGCCCCAGGGTGTGGGCTGTGCTCTGACCTCTCAGACCTTTGGGATGCCTGGTTACACAGAAGGATTTTACTGGTCCTAAAAAACTGGGGCAGAGCCACACGTGGTGGCATACACCTGTAATCCCTGCCCTTGGGAACCCGAGGCAGGAGGATCCCAGAACGAGTTAAAAGGCCAGCCTGGGAGCCATAGTGAGTTTAAGACCAGTCTGAACTACATAGCAAGGCCTTGTCTCAAAAGAACCAACCAAACAAACAGGAAATGTGGGGTGGAAAAGAAGGTTTTGGCTTTTCTCAGAAGATCCAGGCAAGCAGTGTGGCTGAGCAGAAAGTGAGCGACCTAATGCATCCTCCTGCCTCCCGCCTTCAGGCTTCGCAGGGAATGGTGGGTCAGCTGGCTGCCCGGCGAGCGGCCGGCGTGGTGCTGGAGATGATCCGAGAGGGGAAGATCGCGGGGCGGGCAGTCCTCATTGCAGGCCAGCCAGGCACTGGAAAGACGGCCATCGCCATGGGTAAGAGGCCTCCTGGGGCCGGAAGTCCCTCCCATCTAAGTCAGGGTCGTTTGTCTCGGCTTAACATACACCTCAGAAGGGTGGTGGCACAGACACTCAGTGTTCGTTCTGTCACATAGAAGAATGTAACAGCAGCCATTTAGGGTTAGCGAGCAATTGGTTAAAGTCTTCTATTTTACTGCCTCAACATTTTTGTTGTGTTGTTGTTGTTACTGAGTATTGAACTCAGGTCCTTGTGCTTGTGAAGCAGGCGGCAGAACCACTGAGCCAAACCCACAACCCCAGACTCTTGCCTCAACATTCTTACATGTCAAGGTTACCTCATGTTTCAAGTTGACTGCCTAAACTCCGGCCTTCCTACTCATATTCCAGGCATCAGGAAGAAAGATGAATTGCAATGAAGGTGTACCTCATCGAGTTAGCTCCCTTCAAACACCTTTCTTGGAAATGCCCCAAATTTTTGCTTTTATCTTATTGACCAGAAATTGATCACATCTTTTCACTCTGCTGCAAAGAGAGCTGTGACATTGAAGAGTTTTTTGTTTGTTTGTTTGTTTGTTTTTAAATGTTTTAATTGGGATTAT